CTCTCTCTCTCTCTCTCTCTCTCTCATCTAATTCCTTTCAGGAGCAGAGAATAGCTACAGTAAGAATACTGGGGTTTGGAAATACCAAAGTGAAATAATCCAATATGTATCTGCATTATGCAGATGACACAACCCTGCTTGCTGAAACTGAGGAGGACCTGAAGCACTTGCTGTAGAAGATCAGAGACTGCAGTCTTCAGTATGTATTGAGACTCAATATTAAGAAAACAAAGAGTCTCACCCTTGGGCTGATTCACAGTATCATAATGGATGGGGAAGAGATTGAGATTGTTCACAGTTTTGGTCTGCTTGGATCCATAGTCAACACTCTTGGCACCAGCAGCCAGGAAATTAAAAGACATATTGTGATGAGAAAGCCTATGGTTAGAGGCCTCTCTAAAGTGCTGAAGTGCACAGATGTCAGTCTGGAGACTAAGGTGTGTCATATACATGCCATGATCTTTGCAATAACTTGTTATGCATCAGAGAACTGGACAATGACTAGGGATGATAGAAGGAGAATTGATGCCGTTGAGCTGTCATGTTGGAGAAGAGTATTGAATATACCATGGACTGCTGGGAAAGCAAACAGGTTTGTCCTGGGAGGGTGGAGGGACAGTGCAGGAGAGGAAGACCCTCGATGAGATGGATTGATTCAGTGACTGGGGTAATGGGGGTAGGTGCGTTGCAGATGGTGAGATTGGCACAGGATAGGGCAGAGTTTAGGGCTGTTGTACACAGGGCCGCTATGAGTCCCAGGTGACTCGATGGCACATAACAACAACAACATGGATTCATGTTTGCTGCTTGGATGCAAATAAAACATGGGCTGATATGAGCGCAAAACAACACACACACACACACACACACACACACGTTCATGCACGCGATCACCAAACAGTGGCTTGTGAGATCTAGATGCCCAGTCCTACTTTACTGCATGGGGACATGTGGCAGTTTAATAGTAAAAGCTGAGCTACAATACCAAAGGCAAATGGCTGGAATAGACCAGTTGCTCTTTGGGATAAGAATGGGCAATCTCCTTTGATACACTGAGTCAATTCCTGCTCACAGCACATGACTGTGGTAAAGTTATTAAACGTTTTCATTATTAATCTCTTATGTGAAAAATAGTAAAACATCACCACATCAACTAACTTGGCTTCCCTGTGAGAATAAAAGAAATTATTTGGGAAAAAAAAAGTAAGACTCATCAACAACCTGTTAGGCAGATGACACAACCTTGCTTGTCAAAACTGAAGAGGACCTCAAGTGTTTGCTGCAGAAAGTCAAAGATTGTAGTCTTCAATATGGATTGAAGCTCAACATCAAAAAGACAAAAATTCTCACCACTGGCCCTATTGGTATCTAGCACCATGATGGATGGAAAAGAAATTGAGGATGTTAATAATTTCAATACTTTTGGCACCAGCAGTCAGGAAATCAAAAGATTAATTAAATTAGGGAAGTTTACTGTCAGCGACCTCTTCAAAATGCTAAAAAGCAATGATATAAGTCTAGAGACAAGATGTGTGTAATCCAGGCCATGGTCATTGCAATTACTTGCTGCACATAAGAGAGATGGACAATAAGGATGACAGAAGAGGAATCGATGTCTTTGAGTTGTGATGCTGGAGAAGAATATTGACCATCCCATGAACTGCCAAGAGAAAAAAGACAGGTCTATCTCTGAGAGGGTGAAACCAAGTTTCTCCTTGCAGGAAAGGATTTTAAAGCTCTGTCTCACATACTTTGGGCACGTGGCCAGGAGGGACCAATCCTTGGAGAAGGACATCATATTTGAAAGGGTAGAGTGATGTCACAGGAAAAGAAGACCCTGGATGAGATGGATTGATACAGTAAATATGGTAATGGGGTCTGTGTTTTTGAGACAGTGAGACTGGCTCAGGATAAGGCAGGGTTCAGAGCTATTTGCTATGAGTCACTTAATGGCACATAAAACAACAACATCATCAACAACAACAACAACAACAATAAAACCCAATCACTTGCATAGGTACTGTTCTCCAATTTTTAAAAAAACATTTTTCCGACTGAAAATAATAGGGCCTATCATGTTGTTGTTGTTGTTAAGTGCTGTTGAGTTGAGCACAACCCACAGCGACCCTATGAACAAAAATCCTGAACTTTGTACTATAACTATTGTCTTTTCTCTATGTCCATAGAAGTTCCAGAGGCATGTGGTTTAGGAAGTGGATACAACTCCTGCTTTCAAACCTGAATCAATCTGGGAGCTCCACCAAACACTGTCCATGATGGGCTACCATTATGGCATTTGACACAGTACTGAAAATTGACAGACCAGTGCTGTCCCACTTAGAAGAATGTTCATCTCAAACACAACACCAGACCCGAAGGCCACAGGCCCAAGGGTGCTACCACCTTTTAAGTGAAGGCCTACCAGTAGATCCTGGTTGACTCTAAATAAACCAAGAGACTTCCAGCTAATAGCTCATTGTTAGCTAAATCTGGAAAATCCGATCAGCTCACACTCACTTGTGAATAATAATGTTGTTGTTGTTGTTCTGTGCCGTTGAGTCGCTTGTGACTCATAGTGACCCTAATAATAATAATTTTTTTAAAAAACCAACAAAAAATCCTACCAACCAGTCCTCACCTGATCCTTACCAAAACAAGAAAAACCATCTTCCAGAATCCAACCACTTCACACATGAGCCTCCAAATTAGAGACTAAGTTGGACCCAATAGTCTTTCTAAAGCTAGAATATAATGCAATTCATCATGGTGACTTAGTACAAACTACTATTTTTGAATAAGCAGACTTTGAACAATGATTGTTTTACTCTGAAACAATTTAGCCTTTTTAAGAAACAAAGAACCAACTGAAGAACAGCTATCTTCTTTGGGGACTAATTTTACACTAACAGTCTCCTTAGCATCTTTTTTTGACTATGTAAATTTTTGTACTGTTATGGTTTGCTTGTTATTTTGATCCTGGAAATTTGCTAGAAGAATTTAAAATACTAACAGGTTCACCAGTGTTAACTATGCTTCAGTGACATTTCTAGAGGATAGAGTAGGAAAGAAATTCTCGAAATTGACTTTCAAAAATTCTCTTTGATTGCCATTGAGTTGGAACTGACTCATAGCTTTCAGAGGCTATTAGTCTCTCTTTTTCCTGAGGAGTCAATGGCGGGTTCAAGCAGCGAGAGGTGTGGCCTTTGGACTAGCAGTGAAACTCTCTATAAATTACACCATGAAAGCTCCTACTATTTTATTGGACTAGCCTACGAAAACTTTGTGGATCACAGATGAATATAGTACATTCACACAATGGAAAGTTACACACCAGTGAAAAACAATGAACTCATAAAACATTACACAATATGGGTGAGTCTGGAGGACATTATGCCAAGTGAAATATCTCAATAACAAAAGGACAAATACTGCACAACACTACCATTATAAGACTGACATGGGGAGTTGGGGAGAGAATTGGAAAAGCATAGACAGATAGTGAACACTGCATTGGAACAGATGAGGGAAAGGACTGCCTAAAAGAAATGTATGATTAGGCACTATGTATGTGTATCACAACAATTTGGAACCACAGTTGTATTACAAAGTGGACTGGGGGAGGGGAAGGAGGGGGGAAGCAGGAAAATGTACAGTAATGTATGAATGAAAACCTAGCCTTTCTGTAAACTTTCATTAAAATCACAATAAAAATTTTGTAAAGAGAAAGAAAACCTTGTGGGCCACAGATGAGTATCGTCTCATAGTTTGTAAGGCTCTCCAAACATAACATAGGCATGACAATGAACTTGAACACATCTATGAAGGTCACCTTTTGTTCTGTTATGCTTGGGGCCACCACGAGTCAGAGTTGATGCTAGACTAAGATAAAAAATTTATTCATTTTTTTAAAAAAGACTTTAATCCACCCCAACATTTGTTGAAAAATAAAAATTTAAAATTCTTATAAAACCAAAACCAACCAACCAAAACCAGCTTTTCAACCATAGTAGTCTAAAAAGATAAAATCTTTTTCTCCATCTTCTTTACTTATCCTTTTAAAATTCTAAATAACAGAAAGCAGAGAATTGAAACAGGTTGGCTGTTTCTTGCTGCTTCAGGAGAAGTTAATTTCATCTTCTTCCTGCATTTTCCAAGTTAGGTGGCAAATTTTATTTGAAGGAAAATTATTTTCTGCACATTGAAGGCAACAATGAAATAGTTCAATGCCTTCATGCACTTCTGTACTTTGTAGTATTTTATTTTTTAATGCACTGTATTAATTTAATGTCCTTACATTCATGGTCCATTGAATACTTGTTCCATATATGGTGAATCTATGCTTAAGAGTATAAAATATGTCTTAGTGAATTTACACAGTGAACTAGTTACTTCTAAATGAATCAGAAATCAGAAAGATAGAAATTCTTAAATTATCTAAAGATTTCATAATAAATGATACTTACCATATTCATATTTTTCTTATTGTATCCAGCCCATAAGGACATAAATTCACTACATATCACCCAGAGTATTTTATTGTTGCAGATTTTAATACTAGGTGGTGTTTTTGACTTGTATTCTAAAAATAAACCTTTAGTGCCAAAAAGAGCCTGCAAACAAAAAGAAAAGAGTTTTGGGGTTGGGTTTTTTTGTGTTTTTTTTCAAATCTTGAGACTTCCTGATACTGTCTTCATTCATGAGACATATTGGGGAATAAAGGTATATTTACTTTTTGATCAATGAGACCTAAAAGTTTGACTGATGATTCTCTCTAACACAGATATCAATGTTATTTACAAGGAGATTGCAGAAAAGTTTGTCAACCTCAAAAATTTTCCCATGGTTAAATGTTTTGCTTAATTAAAGATTGCCCACATTTCATATTTATCGCTTATTACCAAGGAAGGTAGAACAATTTCTCCTTAAGATGATATATTGCTATATTGTTGCTAGGAACCATCGAGTCAGAACCAACCATATCTGACTCTCCAGTGGTTTTTTTCAGAGGCAACTAATTGCACTGGAGGAGACTGATATCTTCTTTCCTTTGCTGCTATCAGCACAACAGCCATCTCTCATGTTGCTAATTAATGAATGGCACACTGAGCAGGAAGACCACTGAACAGAAAATATTGAATAATCTGTAGGAAGGATATGATAAAGTAAGTTTTGGTTAGCTCTCTGGTTGAGGACTAGGAACTTCTGGGAACACAAATCCTCTGAAAAATCTGAGGGAGGGGAATAGAAATGTGGACTTAACCATGATAGAAAATTTGAGAGTGAGGACATTTTTTGCTTCAGATATAACCTATCCAGGTAAACCAAAGCATATACAAAACTAGCATGTTGAAAAGTAACTGTGCCTACCTTTGAATTTTACAAATTCCACTGCTCAACCCTGCACAACTGTAGAAAATATTCAAAACTAACCAATCCCAATGAATGTTGAAATGGAACTTTCCACTACACAAAAGTACTTGTGCTTACCTCGTGTGTGCTTATAGTAAGAAAAAAAAACCAAACACAAACTGCTATAAAATTAATCATTAGGTTCTCTGGAAATTCTTTATGCTAAGAAAACAAATAGGTCTGTCTTAGAGAGGGTGAAATCAAGTTTGTCTTTGGAGGCTAGGATTTTGAAGTTCTATCTCACGTACTTTGGGTACATGGCCAGGAGAGACTGGTCCTTGGAAGGGTGGAGGTACAGCACAGGAGAGGAAGACCCCAGATGAGATGGATTGACACAGTAACTGGGACAATGGGGGTAGGTGTGTTAGAGTCAGTGAGATTGGCTCAGGATAGGGACTGCTGCTGTACATGGGGTCACAGGTGCGTAACAACAATGAGCAAATAATTATTTCTGTTCCCATTTTCTCTCTCTTTGTGGTCAAGTTGGAATTGACTCCTGGCTGACCCTCCAGTAGTGGGTTTCCTTCCACAGCTGTAAACCGTATATGAGGAGATTGCTCATCTTTCTTGCTAAGGTCACTAGTGCATGTAAACTGATACTACCACCTCAAACCCGCACTTCATCTTCTTATGTGTATGAGAATTACTGGGATACCTTAACTGGTCTCCTAGACTTTTGTCATCCAGATTGAATTTACCATCTACTCTAAATGAAATGACAATCTTGGAAAGCTATTACATTCATTTTGACAACAATTTTCCTTTTTAGAGAAACAAAAGTAGTAGACAAACCCCTACATAAACACAGTGCAAGTAAATCTACGACTATTGGCAATCTATTTTCCAAGCTTTAGAAAGGAATCAGTAAATATGTGAATAAATAACTGATCTTTAAGATAGGGTTTGAAATATTTAGGAAGGTAGTGCAAGCTCCTTTATTAGAAGAGTGTTTCTGACACAGTCATCTAGCATTAAATTAGAGGCTTTAGTAGTCATTAGTAACTTCAAGAATGGCTTCCATTTGAGTATTTGTGAATCCTTTTAATTGTCCAAGTGAATATCACAAGAAAATGTGTTCCTGACCTTGTATTGACATAGTCATCAGATCAGCTGAAAGTTCATGTGATATTCAGTTATTCTTATAACTAAGCATATGAAATTATTAAAGAGAGCTCTGAGCATTAAGATGTAGACACACGCACAGGCACATGTCTGTATGTTTTGTGTAAATCCTCCACTTGCATTTTATAAAAGGTCTTAAAATAAAAAGACCGTATTTTGGCAAAAGGGAGTGCCTACCTTGAGGATGGAGTTTGGAAGTAGGAAAAAACGGGTAAAAATGCCTGTGGGATACTTGAAAGAAACCACAGGGCCCAAGGCAAAATTCATTTTTATTCTTTGTTCCAGTTCAGGCATGGTGGCAAAGGCTACAAAACCTGAGAGCATAAGAGACAAGATAAACTAATGAAATTTACAATTACTTACGTAATACTTCTACCAACAGAGGTGCGACTCGGCTTTGTTATTTTATCTTTCTGTTGCAACAGTCTTGGGAATGAGTTGTGAAATTCTGTCTCAGTTCTTCTACAAAGATTCCCTTAGCCATCTCTGTTCCCATGGTCTAATATTTCGTGCCTAGATGGTCAACTCAAACTGCCTGAAGAAATGGAGTAGCTGGGGGCTTGAAAGGTCAAAGAGGAGCAGAGGGAGCACAGTTGGGTAAACTATGGATAATTTTACTTTCTTTGTATGTGGTTATGTTGAGATTATTGTCATTTTTACCTTGAATTCTCAAACACCAGAATGAGTCCGAGGACTTACAGAAACAGTCTGTTCACGAATGGTGGGACAGTCACCTTTTTTTTGATATAACATCCAGTCACCCTGCAGTTTTCCATTTTCACAATGGAATGAGAGCTCACTCTCCCAGGACCTCACTGGATGCTTGCCAACCCTTCAGACGTTTCCTTGCTTCCAGAGTAGACCTGCCTACGTCCAATCTGGCTACAATAAACACTGGTTTTCTCCATCCATCCTGTGCTTTCAGTCATTGCACTGAACCACTCTCCTTGGGAGGATGTGGGAGAAGGGAGGAGAAAAGCATAACACAAGGAAGGGGATGGGGAGAATCTGTATATTTTAATTCCCTACATAATTTCTTCAGGGCTGTATGCTCTATGTGTGTGTGTGTGTGTTCATTGTTGAACTATTTGTTGGATTATCACAAGACTTTTAGCCAGCAAAAGAACAGAAATATTTGTTTGAGACAAAGACTCCATACCAGGCTTATACTGGCACCATTCCCTAGTGTTTGGAAGTGTGTGGAGATGAGTTCTTTGAGGTATTCAATTTGCCTTAAAAGCTCTGCTGGTATTTAGTGGTTCATAGACAGTATTGCTAAACATCCCATAAATAATGAATGAGCAATGATGTCCATCTGGAGATTAAGGTGCACCTGATCCAGGCCATAGTCTTCGCAATTACTTGCTGTGCATCAGAAAGCTAGACAATGACTAGAGAGGATAGAAGGAGAATTGATGTCTTTGAGCTGTGGTGCTAGAGAAAAGTATTGAATATACTATGGACTGCTAGGAGAACAAATAGTTTCATCCAGAGAGAGTGAATCGAGGCTGTTCCTTGGAGGCAAGGAATCTGAAACTTAGTCTAACGTACTTTGGATGTGTTGTATGGAGGGACCAGTTCTTGGAGAGGAATATCATGCTTGGGAGGGTGAAGGGACAGTAGGAGAGAGGAAGACCCTCGAAGACTCAGTGACTGGAGTAATAGGAGTAGGTGTGTCAGAGACAATAAACTTTGCTCAGGACATAGTAGAGTTCAAAGCTGTTGTACATAGGGTTGCTATGAGTCAAAAGACAACAACAACACATAACGGGCACATAACAACAACAACAATTAACACTTCTCTGACCAAAATACCAAGAGTTTTCTTCATTGAAAAATGTTATATCCTGAATGCAAATAGACTTTTTTAGACTCAATTCAAGTGTATTCTCTAAAGATTCTTCAGTGGGGCTGGGCACCCCTCTCTGAAGTTAGACTGATTTGGTTTGAATCTGTATTCTGTGCCTTATGTGTTAAGGGACACTTCAGTTTCTCTGAACTTCCATTTTCTCTCTGATAAAATAGAGTTATTAATAATGGGCTTGTTCCCAATATTAGAAGGAAATATTGTGCAAAAGATCTTGAGTAAAACCCAACTTATAATAAACATCCAATAAATAATTATCTGACTATTGGCACCATTGAGTCTCTTATTGTTATTGTTGTTTTTATGTGCCATCGAGTCGCTTGCGACTCATAGCGACCCTATGTACAACAGCCCTAAACTCTGCTCTGTCTTGTGCCAATAGCACTGTCCCTGACACTCCCATCCTGATAACACCAGTCACCAAATCAATCCACCTCATAGACGGCCTTCCCCTCTGCGCTGTCCCTCCACCCTCCCCAGCATGATGTCCTTCTCCAAGGATCGGTCTCTCCTTATAACATGTCCAAAGTATGTTAGACGGAGCCTCAGAATCCTTGCCCCCAAAGAGCCACCCGGTTTAACCCTTATTAGTCATTTAATATTCTTTTAGAATATGCTCTCTGATATTATCTGTTGTATAATTTTAAGCTGCCTAAGAATCACTATAATGCATTGATCAACATATGTTTGCTATTGACAATGAAGGTAATGATGATAATATTATAAGAATGTTAGCTCCTGAAGTTTCAATTATTTTAATTTGTAAAAACAAATTGAAATATTTCATTCTACAAAACACAATTATTTAAAATGGAAACCTTCAGTGAAAAATAAAAAAAATCAAGATTTTATTGCTATGAATTTTTCCCTAGAGCTAGATTATTGATTTCTTCACCAAAAATCTTGACAACCTTTTAAAAAGTAAAATTTCAAAAAGCTGGATCTTGAACTTAAAAAAAATTAATATAATGGCTGCATTGAATTGTCATACCCTACATCTTAAAAACAACAGCATAATAACAATATTTGAAATTACAGTCTAAGTAGGTATGTTTCACTAATTTACTATAATAAATTTCAAAACTTTTTGTAAATATGTCTTTGGACTTTGGCCTATGGTGTTCCTGATTAATTGTATCATCTTTATAAAAGTGACACTGTGACCAATTCTTTGACATAATCATAGTCTCTTGGCATTTGGAAAAGTGATCTCCATACTTAGGATACTTGAGTATGTGCCTCTCAAAGGACAGGGAATCAAAGACACTACACACGGTAGTTATTCCATTTCAAATTTAAGATGGGCTTTTGCAAAATCCCCAGAATAATTGCATTTCTCCACATACCTATTGTTGTCCCAAGTGAATGTCCAATGAAATATAACTTCTCCTGACCAGTTTTATTTACAATGAAGTCTATTATTCCTGGAAGGTCATATTTGGCCATTTCATGAAAACTGCAAAATAAAACACAGATTTATAAGTACAATTAAGTTTAAAACTTAGAGTATGTACTCACTCTTCTTCCTTTACATTCAGAATTTTGTGCTTTTTTTCCAGTAAAAATCCCTCGCCCTATTACTTACCCAATTCAGTGTGTTTGAAGAGACTTGGGGCTGCTAACTTCAATGACTAGTATTTGAAACCCATCAGTTGCTCTGCTAAAAGATGCGACAGTCAGCTTCCCTAAACATTTCTAGAAACCCCTTGGGATAGTTTTACTTTGTCCTAAGAAATTCTCATATACTTTGAGCATGATATCAAGAGGGCCAATCCTTCAAAACTATTTCATGCTTGGAAGAGTAGAAGACCCTCCATGAGATAGGTGACACAATGACTACAGCAATGGGATGAAGCACAGTAGAGACGTGAGGATGACACAGGATTGGGCAGAGTTTTGAACTCTTCTCCATACGGTCATGATGAGTCAGAGCCAATTCAAATATCTACCAACAAGCTCTAGTAGCATAATGCCTGAAGTGTCAGGTTGTAAACCAAAAGCTTGGCAGTTTGAATCCACCAGCTGTTCTGAGGGAGACAAATGGACAATCTGTGTTAAGATCTAGAGCCTCGGAATCCAGATGGAAAGTCACTTTGGGTTGGAGCCTACTTAAGCAGTGGATATTTTTGAGACAGAATCAATTTGACGGCAATGGGCTTTGGGAAATGCCCATTAAATGCATCCTGTTGTAAGTCTTTTCCCACTGCGTTGATCATTTAACTTTATAGTAACAGGAGTGGACCTCCTCACTTCCTTCCCTTAGATTTCTTTTCCTTCTCTTTCCTTACCTAGGTTGTGTGTCTTTTCTTTTTCTTGGAGGGTCATTGGTGGCACAGTGCTTAAGTGCTTGGTTGCTAGAGGAATGTTGGAAATTCGTATTCACCTAAAAGCTCCAAGAGAGGGAGCCCTATCAAATTCTAGCCTCTGAAACCCTTTGGAGAAGTTCTATTCTGTCTCATAGGAACATTATGAATAGAAATCGACTGGATGATTACCCAACAATAATAATAAGTTTCCACTTATGTCTCTGGATAATGCCAACCTTACCTAGCACCCTTATACAGTGTAAAATATGGGGTCACCATGAGTTAGAATGGACTTGATAGGAACTAACAATTTTTGACTTGCCTAAAGATTTAAAATTCTAGCACTTTCTATTATCCAATTTTGGAAATGGGAAACTCACTTAATTCACTGTTGTTGAGTTGATTCTGACTCATGGCGACCCTCCATGTGGCTTCTGATGATTTGTTTTAGATGCATTTTACCTAAAGGCCCAGAACTTCTCTTCAGTCACTGAAAGCGTTTTGTGTCTTCTTGACCAAGTGTTCCCTCGACTGTTTCCCATCCAGACGTCATAACCTGCATCTGCTAGAAGGAATCCAAGACTGCCATTGGCAAAGTTCTCAAGCCAAGCAGCGTTATCTGCAAATAAGGCATGCTGCATATACACAACCGGCCGGGATCCTGGAAGGGGAAAGGAAGAGAGGCAGAGAAATGCAGAGAGAAATAGAATAATTTATGGTACATGTCTCTCTGGAGACTAAGGTGTGTCTGATACAGGCCATGGTCTTTGCAATCACTTGTTATGCGTCATACAGTTGGACAATGACTAGGGAGGATACAAGGAGAATTGATGCCTTTGAGCTGTGGTGCTGGAGAATAGTACTGAGGATACCATGAACTGCTGAGAAAAGAAACAGATTCATCCTGGAGAGGGTTAAACCGGGCTGCTCCTTGGAGGCAAGGATTCTGAGGCTTCGTCTGACATACTTTGGACATGTTGTAAGGAGGGACTGGTCCTTGGAGAGGGACATCATGCTCGGGAGGGTGGAGGGATGTTGTAGGAGGGGAAGGCCCTCTATGAGGTGGATTGATTCAGTGACTGGAGAGAGTATGAGAGACATTCAAGCATTGAGGACTTTCCTTTATAGGGTTGCTATGAGTCACCTGTGACTAGACGGCACTTAACAACAACAACAACAACAACACAACAACAACAACAATATGGCCTGGCTCAGGCACATCTTAGTCTCCAGACTGATGTAGTTGCTCTTCAGTACTTTGGAGAGGTCTCTGACAGCAGACTTTCCCAATGCAATTTGTCTTTTGATTTTCTGGCTGTATACTGGCCTACTGGGAAAGGAGTTGTGCTTCCAAACTGAAGCAAGCAATTCAAATCCACCAGCTGATCCATTGGAGAAAGACTGGAAGTCTTCTTGTGTGATTTATAGCGACCGAAAGCCCATCAAAGGGTCAGTCAGTTAAGTGTCTATTCTGACTTCACAGCAATGAGTTGAGTCCTGTGGGGAGTGACTGTTGAACAACTTGATTCTAGCAACAATTGAGAACGCAGAGGGAAGCTGCAGAGTGAACACGATACAGTGGCGTGTTTGCTCTTGTCTGTGGTTAACTCCAACTTGTGGCACATGCGCTAACTCAACTTATTGCCACTGAGTTGGAACCAAGTCATGGTTGACCCTCTAGTGGATTTTCTGATGCTGTACATCACGTGGGAGGAGACTGCCCATCTTTCTCCCACAGAGCTGCTGGTGCACTGGAAGCATCTGACAAGCACAGTATTTGGGTTAACAGCCCAACTCCCTACAGGCCACCTTAGATTTCTTATGACGTGTAAATTAGTAAATTGTTTACTCATGAGCTTTTGAAGATATTTGTTGTCCTCTTATTTTTCCTTCTTAAACATTTTTGCTGTTATTATTCCCCTTTTAAGGAATGTAATTTCTCTCTTTTTTGCATATTTATTTCATATTTTAGAACTCAAGCCTAAACACCATGTATTTTCACGGCATAAAACATCTGTTCTTCAGGGCAAAACATTTGCTAGAGTTTTTATTCTCAGAAGAAAAAAAAAAGATTGAGCAATCCCTCAGTTATTTAACTAGTTTTTTTTTTTATTCCTTCGGGGGAGGTTTTAGTGGAGGCAAGGGGTGCTTCTGGGCTAAACTCTTTAGCCAGCTTCAGACGACTCAGCACGTGTTCTCACAAAACCATGGAAAACCACTTTCTGAAACAGGCAGGCTTTCTTTCCACATGAGAAATCAGAAAGCAGTTGAGAACTAACAACTGCAAAGGTCGCCTCTTCCTTTGCATTTCCGCTCAACCAGTAAGTCTGATTATAGCCAACAAGATCAGCCTTGCCCTGTGTATTTTTGAGGTTCTTACATGGCTTCATGGAATTCAAGGGGCGGCAACGACTCAACCTTCCTGTTAACCATTTAAAGACCAGTACAGTCACAAATGCAGTTTTACTAATTTGTTTTGATGAATTAGTCACTCTTAGGAGGAACACACAGTCAGCAGAGACTTTCAATCACACTCAGTTCTCTTTAGCAAAGGAAGAGAATCTTATACCTACGCTCCGAGTGTCTCTTCGGCCATAGGGAATTCTGTTGACACTAAGGATGTAACCGTCTTCAGTGATGACGTCATACTCCTCGCTGGGGTAGCCATTATAGGTAATGAGTTCACTCTGCCCAGGAAAAATACAGGTGTTACTGAATGCCTTCTGTAATAGTGCCAAAACGAAATAGATCAAAGCATTGGTGGACATTTACTGGGGCAAATTATCTGGAATCCGTAGCTCTAAGCAGCTGTAAGCTTAATATAGTACATAGATAACGCTAAGATAACGAGAATATTGAAAATGTTTAAAATGTAGAAATATTAATTATTAAATTAATTATTTTCTATGAAAATATAGAAATATTAATTCAATATTAAAGAAATATTATAAATATTGAAAATATTTAAAATACAGAAAATGTCAACTTATGGCACATGTATGTTCTTGGGTGGGAAAAATTTAGTTTTGTAAAGAAAAAGTTAGATCCTCAAGCAAATTGTCTTTTTAAACCACTCTTACTTAATATAAAGCTAACAAGATAATAGAACAATTCTGTTGTTGTTCTGTACTGCCAAGTATAACTCGTAGCAATCCTATGAACAACAGATCTGAACCCTGTCCCGTGCTGTGCTATAGTTATCATCCTCGACCTACTTGAGCTCATTGCTGTGGAACCATAGAAGACATTAATATATGTTTATACTATACACATGGCTTGATGTTATTAAACAATAAGTTCAGACTCTCAAGCTCTTTGCTGTCAAGTCCAAAATGATTCCTAGCTGACTATTCAGTGGGTTGTGACATTCCCATCTTTCTCCACCAGGGAAGCCTGGATGACCTTTGGTAGCAAATCACCCCTAGGTAGACTAGATACGTTAACAAAATCACTACGTTTTACCTGTTTTCTTACTAGAGATTTTCTGCTGTAATAGTACCTTTGATAGTCTTATCACAAATTAATTCTATTTTTTTTTTCTGTTCTTCTTTGGGATTCTCCATGACTTACAATATTCATCCACACTTCAGGATTCACTTCGTTTTCCAACTGAAAGTATTCACCACCATTTAAAGGTCCACAAATCAAACAGGTTGTTGCTAAAAACAGCCACATCCTTGAAATGCCTGGCACAAAACATTTAATATTCATAGATTAATTTTGTTCATGCTAGTTGATTAATGATGTGAGAATGGTACCCTACCAAAAACTTGAGTCACACCCTGAGAAAGCTGTGAAAGTTTGAAGTGAGCTAAATTGGAGTACTATTGCTGGCAGGCCCTAGATTATGACTCAGACAACTCCCACTTGCCCTTTGGTATTATGTAAAATTGACATCACTTTGGAACAATTGAGCCACCAGCAACCAAATGACCAAACTCACTGTCAACTAGATTATTCCAACTTGTAATCACACCGGTCAGAGTACACTTGCCCCATAGGGTTTCCAAGGTTATAAAATCTTTATGGAAGCTGACTTCTACCTTGAAGCATTAGGTAGGTTCAAGCTGTTGAGCTTTTGGTTAGATGTTGAGCACTTTAAGTACTGCACCATTACAGAGCTGTGAAACAATTCCTACTTGCAACAAATTCTTTATCATACTTTCACTTGCATTAAAGCTTTTAAATCATTGGAAAGACACTGAGGCTTCTGTGTGTGTGTGTGTGTGTGTGTCTGTTTTAAAATTATTATTATTAATGAACATTTACAGAGACTTTGGATTTCCATTCATTCACTGTTGCACTTTTCTCCCTGCCTACCCCTCCCCTCAGTTAGCTCTTCTCTTTGAAAAGTAAAAGAAAAATTCTTTCATTATTATACAATTCCTCCTCCCAATGGGATAAATTGGGCATACTGCATTGAAACAGATGAGGAAGAGAACTGTTTAAAAGGGATATGTGAGTAGGTATTATTGTCATAACAGGGGTCTTTTCTTGAACTGAAAAAAAACCCCACAAAAAACCACCCCACTACCATCAAGTCGTGGGTTGTAAGTCTCCTTCTTGCTTTTAGTTGCCATGGAGTTGAGTATAACTCATAGGAACCCTATGAACAACAGGTCTGAAACCTGTCCTATCCTGTGCCATCCCCATTATCTCAGACATACGTGAGCCCTCTGCTATAGTCACTGTCTCAATCCATCTCTTTGAGGGTAAATCCCCTAGTAGATTGTAAATCTTAATGGGAGGAAACTGCCTTGTCCTTCTTGCATTGAGGTGCCAGGGGATTTGAACTGCTGATCTTTTGGTTAACAGCCCAAACACTGAAATTACTATATGTCACCATGTCTCATTCCCCCGCCCCCCAAATGTAAGACTGTATTAAAATCGTCTACACTTAATTCCCACTTACCTACAAATCTGATTTAAAGACACTGTTGCTGTTATATACTATTAATTAGGAATCGACTCATAGCTGATCCTCCAAGTGGGTATTCAGAGGAATTAAATCACACCAGAGAACAGTGCTCATATTTTTCCTGTGAAGCAGCTGGTGGATTTGAACCATGAGTCTTTGAATTGGGAGCTCTACTCCTTACCACTGAGCCACCAAAGCTCTTTTAAAGACACTAGGGGATGGATATTATTCTATTAACATAGATATCACTCGTAATCTAGTGGTAGTCTAGATAGTCTAGAGACTATCTTGATACAGTTTATGCCTTAAAATTAAGTTAGTAAAGGGGCCTTTTGTAACTCATTCAGTTTTACACTGTTTTAAGACATTGTTCACCTATAAGCTGCCAGGATACATAAAAGGTCAGTGGGGGGAATTTCCACACAATAGCAAAAAGGAAGGATGGAATTTTCACCGTATTCTACCCCAGTATCCCACAAAACAGGCAACAAGAAACAAAACTTCACTTCAACAAGCAAGATAATGATCAGTCTCTAGTGATGTGACTGTTTATTAAGTCAGGTGCCCAAAGGCAAATTTTTGCACATTTAAATGTGCAGTCCCACTCCCTTGCCACGGCTTATAAACATGCCTCTTCAATGGCAGGCTGGCATGATCACAGCGGAGCACGTTCATCATAGGAGTGCTGCCGTCAACTGGCCTCAAATTGAAGTCCAGCTTCACCGCAAACATGCTTTCTGACCTTGGGCAAGTTATTTAATAGATTTGTCTTTTGGGTTCCTTGTTGGTAAAACTGGGGTAATGATATAACCTACCTCATAAGGCTCTAATGAGGATTAAGTTTCATAATCCTTTTGTAAAACACTTAGCACAGTATAAACTCTGAATCAATGCTTCTGATGTTATGACTCTTCTAAGAATCAGAGGACGAATAGGATTGTACTTTAATAAATTACTACTTCCAAAATCCAGAGTTTGTTCTGAAGCTAAATCACTTTTCATATATTTACTGTATTGTTTAAGATGATTTTTGTGTCTGAAATTGTTATACGAATTCTTAATCTTTGAAAATAATATCTAGATATTTCATTTAATTAGCTATGACACGTATTAAATAATGATGTTTTAGTGTAAGAAATGGTTAAAAAACTCAACTGCCAACCAAAAGTTTGGCCATTTTAACCCACCAACAACTCTACAGGAGAAAGATTTGATAGTCTTTCCCTGTAAAAATTTATAATTTTGGAAACCCTGCTATGCCTTATAATAAGTTGCATGAAATGTGTACTATTATTATCTTCATTATACCAACAAGGTGAAAAACCCACAGACAATTAAGATTAAGAGATTTAAGACATGCCCAAGCTCACAGAGAGCAGACCCAGTGAAATTCATGCAAAATCAAAGTACAGCCGTCACAAGTACCTGCCATTCAGTCCAACTTCTCAACTGTGGTGTTAAATTTGGACCTTACCCAGTTAAGGTGTTCTTCTTCTGTTCCTGAGGTCTCCCTTTAAATGAAGAATGTCTGCACTTTTGTATTTGGCATCAGGCTGGAGAATGACGTATGATTGTAGTGACAGTTAGAAGGTAAAGAGATGAGAGATGGGAAGCCTAAGGAAATGAGGAAGCCTGAGTGTGACACACACCCAGGGCGTCTTCCCAAGACACCAAATGCCATGATGCACTTGTAGGTTGAGAAATAGTGGTCTACACAAGGCCAAATAACCAGTTTGGTTGAATCCCTCATGTTTCAACTGTGTACCTGTCATTGTTGGGAAGTTTCAGAAATATTTTCAAATCAATACATTCAAAGTAGAATGTACTCAGAAGCCTAATGGACAAAATAAGACACAATAATTAACATCAGTCCTCTCAACCTCCAACATTATTACCAGGATTACACGAAGCAATGCATGTGAAAGTGCATTGACAACAATATAGTGTGTGTGTGTGTGTGTGTGTGTGTGTGTGAGAGAGAGAGAGAGAGAGAGAGAGAGACTGTACTAAAATTGAGAAAATTAAAGATTTCTGGGTCCTAATTCCTAAGCTTGAACTAGAATGACAGGAACTAGAACAAAAGGACTTGGCCCACTGCCAACTTTGGTAGCAACCATTGTGTAGTTGTTGTTAGATGTCATTATGTTCGCTTCATCTCATGGTGATCCCACAGACAACAGAGAGCAAACTAACTAAACCTCATACTACTCAATCCTATCCCATCCTTACAATCTCTGCTGTGTTTGAGTTCCATTGCTGTGATCATTGTGTCAATCTCTCTGATTGTAGATCTTCCTCTACTGTATGGTTGGATTACTCACAAGCTATGAAGTTGTACTACCAGAGGAGAGGTCCACTACAAAAAGATAGACAATGACCTACTGTGCAATTTACAACCTTGGAAAATTGCTGGAGGGTCAGCAATGAGCTGCTTCCTGCTTGATGGCATTGAGTTGTATTAATTTAAGCAAAATAAGAATCCCTGGTGGCATAGGGTGTAATGTGTTGGCCAAAGGGTTAAATGTTTGAATCAACTCTTCACTCCAAGGGAGAGAGATGTGCTGTCTCCTTCCGTAAATATTTACAGCTTTGGAAACCTGATGGAAGATCATTATAAGTGGAATTGACTCAAAGTGGTGCATTAGTTAAGTCAAACAATAAAGCAGTTTGAACCCACCAGTTGCTCCATGGGAGAACTATGTGATGATCTGCTTTTGTGAAGATATATAGTCTTGGAAGCTCACGGGGAAGTGTTAATCCATCCTATAAAGCTTTTATGAGTAGGAATTAGCTCAACAGCAGTGGCTTTAGTATTGGTTTGGGTTAAGCATGGGAGGAATTAATGCTTGAAGGGGTAATGAAGCTATTTCAACTCTGACTTCCACCTGGGATACCTGGAGACATTGCCTCCGTCTTTTATTTACTTTGTATACCTATAGAGCTTACACATGAATGGAATCTTTTTCATCCACAAATCTGTACAAAGAAGGCAGAGAAAACAAAATTACTCCTCAAAGTAATATAGGAGTTTCAGTTTTATTAGTTTGACCTTATTATCAATCAAATCTTTTCAGAAACAAAAATATTATCTTTATTTTACCAAATTCTAACATCTGTTTTCATTTAAGTAGAGAATTTCTACCAATTAAACATATAGAGTATAGGGAAGTACTCGGTTTGTTGGAAAATGTGACAAAAGTCATCCATTCTCCATACCTCGCTTTTGATGGAAGACTCAGCCATGCTTTGTTCTAATGAGTAGTTTATGGCAAAGGGATGTGTACTTGTTTGAATATCTCATAGATTGTGACTTTAAAAAAAAATCTCTTTTAGTGACATTTCAATGGGCTCTTTAGAGATTTATAGGAAATGCATTGTTTTTATTAACGTGAAAATTGTGCCATGACTTACTCTGGAAATAACGTGAGTATAGTTTAATTTCTCAGATGTTTACCGATTGTATTATAGCTCAAATATCAGAGGAATTTCTACATCATTGAATTATTTCTTTTACAACTTTGAGGATTGTCTTAATTATCTGGATAGTTCTTCCAAACTCAGATTTCGTTTGCTTGTCCAGAAACAAAGCTGCATTAAATTAATGGAACATTTTCCTAAATGATTTTAGTCACTTGTTTTATGTAATATTCATGGTAGTATGCATCCAACATTTTAAATGAAATAAGTGGAAAGTTCTTCCTAAACTCTGGGGAATAAGATTCTCTGGTCTCTACAAGGGAAACATCTTCCCTGCACA